AAAAAAAAAAAAAAAATCAAACTGAGCTGGGCACAAACCTCCCCACACTCTGGGAGGCCGAGACAGGCAAACTGCAAATCTGAGTCCATCCTGCGCAGCTTGGTGATGCTGTCTTGAGTAAGGATGCCGCTTAGTGCAAAGGCCCTGCATTCAACCCCCAGGACCAAAAGAAGAAAAAGAAAAAGACAAAAAGCCCCAAAACTCAAACTGTACTTTTAACCAAACTCGGTCTGTATTTGGTATAGAAGAAAGGCAAAGCCGAGTAACAGGAAATCTCATACACCGAGTCGTTCCCACGGCCCCTCCAGTCATCTGGCCACAGTGCCCGCCACAGTGCTAGGGAGATATTCTCAATATGATGTCTCCAGCTGGCAGAGTGCTTCACAGCCGCTAACTTGGGGTCCAGAGTGTGAAGTGGAAAGGTCACACCCACAGCAAACTGATACCATGACTGCAGTGGTGTTCGGCAAAATGAAGGACAGCGAAGGTGAGGAAATGACGGAAGGCAAACAACTGTTAGTCTTGAAGAGGTAAAATGTTTTGTCCTCTTTTTTCCTAAATATTCTCTATGTACATATTGTTTTTATCTTGAAATTTTGACATAAAATATACACTAAATATACAGCCACCTCTTGTACTCAAAAGATACAAGGACCCCATAAATCCTAAGAACTGACTGCATCGGTTCTGAAGCATCAGCTCCTCTCACCCTTTTTAAAGCAGCTGCATGGCGGGCGGACACTTACTTCCGGTTGGTCTCCTTCCTTTCAATCAGGCAGCTCCCTTCCAGCGAGATGCCGGCGAAGAGGCCCCTAGATCTGCAGTAGGTGAAGACGGCTGCCGGGCTCCTGAGCGCAACGTTGCCTTCCAGGTTCCTGCAGGGCGGAGGCAGGGATCATGCTGGGTGGCAGGGTTACCTCTGCTGGCCGGGTTGGAGTGGGACTGGCCCAAGGTACAGAGCCTGGGGGGCAGGGACGGCGTGATGGCAGTGGTCCCAACACAGAGCCCATCTGCGTTCTTCCTGCATGGGGCATTTTCATCCCACCAGGGCAGATACTTCCAGGAGTGGCGAGCTGTTTTTCCCCAGTAGCATTTCAGGCTGGGCGTGGTGCTGTATATCTGTACCTGGAATCCCAGGCACCAGGAAGGCTTGAGCCAGCCTGGGCGCCGTAGCACTCAGCCTCAAAGTTTATTCTTTTTTTTTTTTTTTCAGACAGGGACTTGCTATATGTATTCCAGGCTGGCCTTGAACTCACTATGCAGCTCAGGTTGGCCTCAAACTCTTGATGGTCCTCCTGCCTCAGCCTCCTAAGAATCTCCTCCTGGGATTACAGGTGAGAGCCAGCACCCCCAGCTTCTGTCTCAACATTTAAAAAGAGTCAGGGATGTAGCTCAGAGGTAGAGTACTTGCCTAGGATGTGCAAGGCCCTGGGTTTGATCCCCAACACCGTAAAAATGAATACTATTTTAATTAACAGAAAGTAAAACGCATTTTAGGTTTTGCAAACAGAAGATACATCTACTTCAAATTTTCATGATTTAGTGTGAAAAAATATTTTTCTTCCCTGACTAATGCTGTCCTTTATCAGTTAAGAAAATTTAACTTGCCTTGCTTGGCTCAGCCTCAAAGCCTGAGGTAAGTTTTATGTTTAATTCCAACAGAAACCACAGCCTGTGTTTGTGAAACACTTTTTCTTCTTGTGTGTTCTGGTTTCAGATTTCTGGTTCATCCCACAGGCTGTGTTTTGTGAATTTTATGTCTGCTGTGACCTCCAAAGCTCTGGATAAACTTGTTCATTTTAATTCAAATTTCCTCTTACTGCAAACAAAACATGTAGTTTTTCCGTGTTTACTCTCTGACATCTATTCTAACAGCTGCCACCAGACAGGACTCACCTTCCCATCGGCCCCACCGCCACAGTGAAGTTCCCCCCAAGCGTCAGGTTCCCGCCCTTGGCGAAGGCCTCCACAGCTTTGTCATAGTTCAGAATGATCACCAGATCTGAGACCTGCAATGGAGGCCACTTGTTTAAAACACTTACAACCAAATATCAAAGTATGTGCTGAGTAAAACCCGAATATGCCATCTGCACTGACAGAGAACGAGTGTGAAAATGACACGGAAGACGGCACCGTGGCAGACCCACCACTGCCAGCTTCCCTGTGACACTGCCAGATCCGAGGACTGCGGGATAGGGGAGATGCCGAGGTTCATGGAGGCTGAGAATCAAGTGCTCTCTGACCTCCTAATCCAAACTCTCCAAAAAGCCACCCAGAGGACTGGGTCTGGGGGAGGCCACAAGTCCACCACCAGGAGACCCAGCCCATGAGACTTTCCTACAGGTTGGAGAGGCCCAAAAGCCAGGGACAGGTTGGTTTCTGTCAGTGATAGCCCAGACTTGACTTTGCTCTAAATGAACACAGAAGGTAGAGGGGATTCAGCTGCATGCTTGCATCACGCAGAATGGAATAACATGGCCCGTGCCTCGGCAGGCAGTGCGGGGGACTCAATGACCCCCAACCCAACAAGAACGGGCCCTTGGTCTCTGATCTCACCACACTTGAGGAGCCTGCATCACAGAGCTGCCCTGAGGGCCACTGTGATCGCACCATGTGTAGTTGGAAACCAAGACCCAAGGCAGGTGCTGAAGGATGCAGCGAGAATCCCAAGGCTGCGCCTGGGTGCTGTGGACAGCACTCAGAGCCTCAGCCTCCTCTGTGAGCAGAGGAGACCAAGAAACCACCTCTGGAAGGGTATGGGCTGACGGACATCCCCGTGGCCCAGCAGACCTTAAAGGACTCCTTCACTTGCATTGTTCTTTCAGGTTTCCTGAGGTTTTCAGTGTTTTCTGTCAACCTACAGACAAGTGCTGTAATGAGCAAGTGAGGTTCCACCGCAGGAAGTTACTGGCACCAGTGGTGCTCACATCTGCAGTGTACGCACGCTCACCCTCTTCCAAAGTGTCGGGACCCTTTCAGAGGATGGCTCAGGGCTTCTCGGCTAAGTCCATGCTGTTGCCTGTGCTTCGGCCTGCATCTCCACTGCACTTCTGCTAACACTGGTGTGCATAGCTCACCCTTCTCACACCAGGACAGGCAAGTCCCGGACACACCCCGGAGCCGCTCTGGCTGCCTCTCCATCTGCACAGCACATCTCAGAACAATTAAGGCCAGCACAGCTCTAAGCAGCAAAAGAAAGGAACAGATCCATCTGTCCCTGCTGACTTCCTCTGAAGCACAGTAAGACAATCCTGTGTTCTTCGGTGATACACTGATTAGGCCAAGAACCGGGCCATACTCGGCTATGTGAGCTCCCAGCTCTCAGCTCAGGACCGGAGTGGACAAACTCTCACCAGCACCTGTGCCACCGAGAGGAATGTGTGGCAAGGACACCAGCCGGGGATCCCACACAGCTGCTTGAGAGGCCTGTGCTACAATAGTAGCTAAGAAGACTCAGGTTCCCCCTAAACACAGCCTTAGGCATAAGAATGAACAGTGACAGTCCTCGGCAGGGGACACACGATGTCCTCAGGAGTCTGTGCCTGGCTCTCCCGCTTGTCCTGGTCCAAGACCACCTGCCTCAAACTCCTGTTGACCCGCAGCCATCACTGTCCAGCTCCAGCTGTGAGTCTGATGACTTGTGCTGTGCACCTCACATGGGCCCCAGGAGCCCAAGGACCTGGCCCGGCACTCTGGGCTCACTGCTACTCCTTGAGAAGGGGAAGCCCACCCAACTTCTCCCTGGGAAAAGCTGAGTTTTGAACGAAAGCAACAAGGATCAGAATTGGTGACCAAGTGTGAACTCTAATTTTTGGTAAAATAACAAATATATTGGTGTTATACAAAGACAGGCCAAACACTGGGGGCTTTAGTACTTGGGACCTTGCTCTAACTGTCCCAAGAAGAATACCAGCATCATTTAAAGCAAGCCTTAGCACAGTTTGCTTAGACCACTGACTCACACAGCTTCACCTCTCAGAATCTCACCCTGCACCAGTCTTCCTCTCCTCCCAAAATACCTTTTCCTTCCCGAACTGACTGCCCTCGCAGATGTGGACTGTTTGTGGATGGCTGCTCAGTACGCACCAGGCCCAGAGAATCAGAACCAGGAGATTGGCTGAGCCCAGCCTACAGAGCAGAGGACGGAACACTGTTGTCCCAGCATGTGGCTCAGGCACCTGCCTGAGGCGGGGCTCTCTTCCTCAGTCATCACCACACGAGGCAGCAGTGAGGACCAGCCTTGTGCAGAGGCACAGAAACTGATGTCAGGAGCAGGCTGGGACTCGGCCTTTCTCCACAGGTCCGCACTCGGAGCCAGGGCGCTGAGGTTGTGAGCAATGAACCCAGACCTAGAGGATCGCAGTGACAAAGGGCCCAGAGCAGGGGAGACCTCGTCACACAAACTTGCGGAGAAGGGCTTCCACTTTCTAGAGTGGAGTCAAAGCGCATCTAGACCACTCCAATGCTGCAAACAGCATTTTAAGAAGCAATCACTATCTCTGGAGCCCGCCCGGTAGGCAGACTGCAAGTGAGGAAAGCAGGCTTGCACGCATGGGCTCTGTGCAGTCAGGCCCAGGTCAGCATCTCCTGGAGGGGTGGCCAGTTCTCCTGCTCACAGCTGCCTGTCGCAGGAGCCGCATCTGGCAGGAGGCCAGCGATGCCCTGAGCCCAACACTTTCAGGGTTAGGGCACTTGCCTAGCATGCATGAGGCCCTGGGTTCCATCTCTAGCACCTCCAAAACTGAAGGGATATAGAAACGTTAAAATGTGAATGATCGTCTTCCATGCAAGTCAGTGAGAAAAATTTCCAGAGTTATTTCTCACACTGTCAGAGGATAAGCTTTGTGATCAAGTTTCTGTCAATGCCAGCCTAGAGCGACAGGAAACAAGTCACATAAGGACAAGGGAATGAAGGTGCAGCCAACACAGCAGCTGGCAGCATGGGGCCAAGGGAGCTCCCATCGCTCAGCCAGACAACTGGGTGTCTCATTTCACGCTGTCCAGTTCATCTGCCAGGTGGCTGGGCTATGTCTCACTCATTCTCGTTTACCAATGGCTAAAAACCCACAAATTCCAAAGAACCACCATATACATTCTCATTTTTGGCATCAAGGAAGGCTGTTGAGATCTGATACAGTCGTTATTATAACCTCCCATCATTTTCTTTGTTTTGTTTTTGGTACTGGGGATGGAGCTTGGGACCTTGTGTTCATGAGGCAGGAGGTGGAACCACTGAGCTAAATCCCAGCCCTCTTCCCACCATTTTCTAAGTGAGTGTTATTTGACAGGGAGCCCAAAGTGTGCCCTTGGTCTCACATGCAGGCAGATGGAGGGCTGCAAACCTAGCACAGTGTCACACACCTACATTCTCAGCACTCAGGAGGCTGAGGCAGAAGTATTGCCAAGAGTGTAAGGCCAGGCTGGGCTGAGTAGTGGGTTCAAGCCCAGCCTGAACTACAGAGCAAGACCCTGTCTCAAAAACAAAACAAAAACAAAAAAACAAGTGGAGGGTCGTGGAAAGAAGTATCTGCGGGGCAGAACAGGAGTCTAGCGCAGGGTCTAGAGAACATGGAGATGGCATGTTAGAAATAGGCCTTCTCAGCAGAGCCGTGTGATACTTCCCAAGGCTCGAAAGTACAACTGAAATATATTTTTTTCTGGGAGGTGGGGATGGGTCAGATCTTGTTAAGTTCCCCAGGCTGGCCTCAAACTCCTGATCCTCCTGCCTCAGCTTCCTGAATGCTGGGACTACAGGCTGGGACCAGCATGCCCAGTGGAAAATGTTCTCTTTAAAATTACAGATTTATGCAGCAGTTGAGTGGAGAGAATCAAAAGAAGAAGAGCTGGCAGAAATCTTCTTAATGGGGCTGAGGAAATTAAAACTGGCAGCCGAATAAATTCATAAAAGGATAGCTCAGGAGGAAACAGATTGAAAAACGAGAAGAAAATGACTGCTCATATCAGGAGGCTTGATTTTCTTGGTGATAAAACACAAGTGAGAGATTAAGAGCAGGGCCGGTGATCTACACCATAGGCCTCCCTGAGCAGGTCAGACCTGGGGGTAATCTCCATTTGACTTGATCGCAGCGGCTCACAGGGGAGGAGTCATAAACAGTAATGGTATGAAACTAATCTGCACTCAAAAAATGTGAAAGGATTCAAATGCCAGATGTCACAGAGCTGCACTGGGCCATGGGTGAGGACGAGTGTGCAGCTCCTCACAGCGTCCAGCTCTCGCCACCCACAGCCTGTTGGTTGTACCCTGTTGGATATTGGGCTGCATCTGTTATATAAAGGTGCTCAAGGTGGAAGCAGATGAAAGGGTGAGGGAAGAAACACTCCTCAAAGAAAGGGAAGAAAATGGAACCATTAGACAGGTTCACTGAGAAAGCAAAGGGTCTGGGATATAGTCAGGGGCAGGGCACTTGCTTATCGTGGAAGAGGCCCTCGGCTCAAGCCCTAGCATTAAAAATAAAGGAAGAGAGCAGGGGAGAGGGAGAGAATGAAAACACAGAGGGCCATCTCTACAGGTGCTGGAAGCAAAGCAGGGGCATTAGGAAGCCTCTCCATGTCTAGGTGCAGGGTTTCGGGCACATCTGGGACACAGGGATTGTGCAGAGGCACAGGCCCACTCACCTCAATTCCTATCTCAAATCCCCCGCCGAGCCCTGCTATCCCGATGGCTGAGGGTGCAGACCACTCTGGGGAAGACAAACACAGATACATTTTAACCATGCAAAGTCCTTGAGTTACCACTGTGAGAAGGAAAATGCTAATATACAAATGATTCTTTATAAATTTTCCTCCCATATTTTAAAATATTCTTCAAAGAGATGTAAAATGTTTTAAAAGTTGAGGCTGTCTGAATGGTATTACAGATTCATTATGAGTTTCAGGCTCATAAATTCTTGCCCTTTAAGCTTTCCCTACACATGCTGGAGTGGAGACAGCTGGTTCCTACCCACTAAACATACACAATATTTGATACTTTCAACTATTAATATTTTTATAATTTATCTGCAGCTGTAGTCTTTGGTTACAGCTTTATCATCTCCATAAGAGGTCAGAAGGATTTAAGACTTTGCTATAAACACTCCTAGGGGTTTCATCATACTAAATAGTTTCCATGGTAAATTTCTGAGGCAGAAACTGTTTTCACCCTCCTTTGCCTAGTGGAAGCCTAGGACATGGGCTATAAATTCAAGATCATTAAAATCCTAACAAGATGCATTTCTTTACACTTGGAATACGATATAATAATTCCATGTGCCATAAAATGGCACACTTTTGGATTACTGTGTGCATATTTTTCCTGATATAGAAAGTTATATTAAACAAGTCTAGAAAAACATATTTTTCATTTGTCGGGGAAGGTAGGTATGACTGAATGTCTTCTCTCTTCAGGGTTAAGGCCCTCTGGCTACAGATGGCATCTCTGACAGGTTTCCGAATTGGACCCCTGCCCAACCAGAAGGGAAATGGCCCCTATGCAGCCCTGCTCCCCACATCTACAAGAGCACAGAGGTAACAGGAAGCCAGCAGCCGCTCTGCTCTCACCACCGCCCTGTTTATTGGCCAGCCCCAGGCTCATCACCCAAGGGCCTCTAAAATTCTCCACACTCTCGACCCCTGCCCTCTCCCCTACCCAAACTCCCCCATATCAACCACACATCCTCCTCTCAGGGCCAACGACCTTCTTGTCCTTGGCCTGTCTGCACCAGATGGCAATAAACTCTTTGCCAGTTGTGTAAATTTTCCCTGCCTCAGTGGTTTCAACTGTGCCTCAGTCTGACCTTATAGTTTCACCCTCACCCACAACTAATCCGTGGGCTCAAGGCATTCCGACTGCAGAAATCACTATGTGATGACCCCTCAGCCAGCTTCATTTCCAGGGTTAGGAACTGTCCAGTCCCCAGGCCTGTGTCTGGTATGGGAACTTGCCTTGCCATATTTGGACAGCTTTTAAACTATTCCCATCCTGGGTGCAGCTGCTGCTCACTCAGGAGGATGGGGCAGAGAAACTGAGCCTCTGCAAGCAAGAGCAAGGCCCTTTGGGCTGTGGGGACAGGCCTCTGCCATCCCAGCCAGTCACTTTGTTAGTGGGCGGCCAGGGCCCAGGCTGGAGACCTTCATCCAGCCCCAGAGACTCCTGCCAGGAAGGAGCTCCTGTGTGACTGCTTTTGCCTGTGAACATTTGGACAGTGTTTCAGAAGAGAACGATCTCTTCTCTATTATATATGTTAAAAACAGCTATTAACAGAGCAATGTGTTCCCGTCTATAAGAGAACGGCAGGTGTTAAATTGCATAAAACTTTAGCTGACATGACCCTGACACATGTTTAAATAATACTGAAAATGTTGGTTCTTAGGATTCCTGGAAAATATATTTTGTTTTAACCTCTGAAAAATTAAATAATAGATTTCACCCCAGAAGTTAATAGTCAATTATGCTATTCCCAGCATGATTCTTCCAGGCTTGGGGAGGGGTCCTTCAAACATTTCAGGTTCACAGTCTCCACAGAAACAGACCTTCTCAGGCAGGCCCTGCTTTCACATTAACTTCACTAAATCGAACTCTCGGGTTCATGCGCAGCACGGAAGTGCCCACACTGCCATGTATACTAAATTTTCCAGTATGGTGATGACAGAGGCAGATCTGGCAGAGTCCAGCCTCATGACCCAAGGAGCGGCTCCCTTTCTTCCTCACTTCCTGACACCGCGGCTGCCACGTCCCACTCCCCACCTGTGTGACAAAGACCCGCCCCAACAACTCCTTTGAGAGCATCCGTGTGGGCCAGGGAACCAAGGCCGGTTAGGGTTGTCACACAGTCTCCGACTTACTTCCGTCTGGAAGGCGCGCCAGGACAATGCCACTGCCTCCCCGGGCCGTCACCAGGAAGCCGGCCTTGATCACAGACAAGATGGCCAGGCCTTTAGCCTTTGCAATAACGTGGGCTGTGAAAACATAGAAAACAAAACATGACCAACAGGCATCTGGCGGCAGAACTTCAACCTTAAAGCCATGTGGCTAGGCTGATCTCTCGCTAGTATGATAACTGGGACTCCAGAGTAGAAATGAAGTCATTCTGCCATTTTAAAGACTGTTAAGCTCATAAAATGATCTGCTACCGTATTCGCCACTGTAAATATAGGTCAGGTTCCAAAGTACTGGTGTATTTACATTTCATGTGTGTTGCCACTAAATGCCATCCATACTTTGCCGAGTTCATTTACAAAACAGCCAGGGAATCCCAGAAATGCCAAAACAAGGAATTTAATCGATTACCAACCACAACAGCTGTCTGCCAAGGAGATCAAGCCAGACACCGATCTATTGCACATGAAGGATTATAGGTGCCTCCAGAAATTCCACAGAACTTATATGATCATTCCGCCAGTTCAAAACTGAAATTAGTGATCCAAGAACTGCACACCTGAGCCTGGCGAGGTTCACCAACAGAACACTGTCCAAGCCATTCTTCAGTAAGATACAGAGATGAGGTGGCCTTTGGAGACACCTGTCTACTAAGCGTAATTTATTTTTGTATCTTAAGTGGTTATAAATATACTGCAATAGAAAGTTTATTTCATACCACGTAGGTTCATTTTTACAGCAATGTGTTGACAGTTTGTCCCCCTCAACGCCTCAGTACCCCCAGGGTTGTTAGTGCCTCTATGTAGAAACATTAAATATAACTGCATTTAAATGAACATGTTCCACACGTCAACTGTGTTTTTACAGATGACCCAGTTTCAGGGGCACCAAAATACAGGTGATCACTGAACCATCTGCTACTTAGCTTCCATTGCAGAGCAGAAAGCAGTGATTGCAGATTGACTTTCTAAGCTAAGTTTCTCTTACATCTGAAAACTCCTAACAGCAGGGAGGGGAAACTCGCTCCATGGAGACCTCAAGGTCTAGATATCTTATTCAGAATGCTTTGTAGGTTTCTCCTATGTTACATGATACAGGGGCCTTGTTTTACCATAAACATCAGGATTCCAGTAAGACTAGGCAAGAAGAGCCCCTCCCCGCCCAGCTGCTCGCCCCAGGGTTGGCTCTCACTGGGGTACAGGGAACCCCCCAACATAGTGCCTTTGTTGGGAGGCAGAGAAAGATAAGACAGCTGTCTGTGGAATCCACAGGTGCTGATCCCACGCAGACATCTCCCAGTGTTAGGGGACCCCATCTACCCACCAGTCAGTGTATACAGCACTTTCCAGCCCCTCTATGGAGTACTACTACTGAAAAGTCAGAGTTCCTGCTTGAATTTTCTTTAGACTTGAAGGCAGTGCCCCTGGAAGGTGCACAGAGCTCACCGAGCCTTGGGGAAATGCTGACCCCTGGGTCGCAGGGCTACCCCATGCCAGGCATCTGCACAGGGACAGGGCTGGCTCTCAGGATGGCAGAACCGGCCGGACACAGTAGCCATCATCAGCATTATTATCAATACCATATGCCAACCAAGTTTTAAAATCATTTAAGACTGTTAAATAACTTCAAAGTCTGGCTTAGGAAACTCAAGCTGGTTTCTTTAATGCAGGATGGAGTCATGTGCTGAGATTAAGAGGGAAACTGTTCTGCAGTGTTGCCTAAGCTTACGTGCATCAGAATCTACTTCGAGTGGGAAGAGTCTTCCAGGCAACACCTCTGGAAGTCATCGGGCAGGGGTAGTGACAGCAGGGGTGGTTCTCAAAGGCTCACCTCCTGGCCAGGTCAAACGGCTTGCATGGGCCAGCCGCAGACCTATCTGGAACACGTGAGATCCCTGGAGTCCCAGGCAGAAGGCTGGACTTGGTTTTGATGCACAGCTGTGCTGGGAATTTCTGATTAACATCTTCTCAAATCACTACAGAGTCTGAATATCCATGAAGAACAAAAACACAAAAGTAACTCATTTCTTGCTCAGAGGAAAAAGTGCAGTTGATGTAAAGTTGAAAAAGTTGATGTAATTATTCATAAACATGCTCTCTGAGGCTAAAGTCTGGTTGGTTTGGAATGTGAAAATAAATTGTAAAGCTGTTCTTGGAGTGGTCTCTGAACAGAACTTGTCTGTAGTTCTCACGTAACGGAAATGTAAACAAAGATCGGTCTTTAATTATTTTTGTTTTGGGGTGGTAAATTTTAAAGTATGAAGCAACAAAAGCTAAATATCACATTCAGCACAAAAATACTGTGTTTCTCCTTAGATCTTCCTGCCACCCTCATTTCTGTGCAAGCAGCCATCTGCAGAGCCCAGTGGGGTTCTGTCCCGACGCTGGTGACCTGCTCCTGGGGACAAGCACAGGCAAAGATGCGTGAGAACACAGTGGCCGTGAAGGTGCTGCTGCCCTGGCTTTTGCTGCTTCTCCTGCACTCTCTCAATCAATGCCATTGAAGTTCACACAGCTGACTGTGCTCAGGATGACTCGGCACTAAAATGTGTGGAAGGTGGCAAAGGATCTCTTACACCGAGCCTTTGCCGTGTGTACTCAGTGGCTAAGAAGAAAGCATCTGATCGGCCAAGCCCCCCACTCCCATGCCATCGTCACAATTCACAACGACACACAGCTTCTTGGTTTTCTTTCCCTCTCTGCTGTCTGTGTCCATCAGTGTGGACTGTTGACAATCCTGCCGCTACCTTCCAGTTACCATGCCGGGCCATGGGTTCACCACTGTTCTGGCCTCAGTCGTCCCTTTTGCAATCTTTTTTTTCAGCTCGTTTGGCATCCATTTTCAAAGGAGCTGTACCAACTGCCTCAGTCCCATTTGGACATAATTTTCTGAAAGGCACAGGAGATGTATAGCAGTTACCGAGGAACTGACTAAGGTAAGAACAATGCACAGTGATTTCAGATCACCCGCTGAATCTTCTAAATTCATGCTGGGCCGTGTGAGCGGCCACTCCACACCTAACCAGAGTGACTTCGGCAGTACACGGAGCTCGAGACCAGACCAGCTGGCTTTGCGAGGCTGCACTGCTTCACCACTACCCGCCCGCAAACAGCACCCCTGATTCGTCCATGGTAGCGTTTCTATTCCGAGCATATACAGTTGAAAACTTCTTTACAAAGAACTCAAGCACAGACTTGATTTTCTGCAATGAATCCTGAGCCTTTGTGGAAGAACTGTTGACGAAATCAAGGCACCAAAGTAAAGGTTAAAATCTTTTAACTAGTCTGCATTTGTCTGAGCTAAGGTGTATCCAAGAGGCCTCACTGACCAAAACATCTCCAGCTCAGGTTTCTGCGTAATACTTTGCAGTAACGTTACTGCGAAAAAGACTCAGTTTCTCATTGTCATTGTCTTTCCATTTGGCCTTTCACGAAAATCTTTTTGGGCCAAGCACCAACAGGGAGCTTGGGTATTCGTTTGTTGGTCATCTTTGAAACCAATTCTTCAATAAAAAGCAGTTCAAAATACTGCAGTGGGTCAGTAGGAGGCAGCAGGTGAGGGACTTTCCCATTCAGGGACCACATCATCCCTGCACACTGGACCAATCAGAAATTTGCCCTTTTCAACCCTTCATTTGAATCTGAATCTGATGCCCTTCACAGGACCAATTGGAAGATGATCTTTTCAATCCTTCATTTGCATGTGTTCACAACCAATCAAAAGACACCATTTCTGATCCTTCATTTACACGTAGAGGAAGTCAAGGGAGTTTTTGATAGAACAGTGTGTACAAGGCCAAAGCCAAGTGAGGGACTGGATGACGTTCCTGATACCTTATTTGCATGAAAGAGAGATAACTCAGGAATTTTGGGTACAAAAGGAGCCCTTTCCCTTATCCTGTGTGCTGTGAGCCTTTTTACCAGCCTGGTTTCACCCTGTAGACAGAACTTCTTTTCGGTCTTCAAAAAATATACAACCTCACTGCCTTTTCTGTGCATCTTGTTTGGGACACAAGACCTAGTGTGAGATCTGAATGAGCTAAAGTGACTCCATGCTAATAGGCCACAGACTGTGCTTCTTCATATGCTAATTGCTAACTTGGCTAACAGCCCACCCAGGGACAAATGGTATGACAAAAGGTGACCATAGAACATTTCCTGCATAAGATAAGCAATGTGTTTAGAATCTTGTCCTCTGGTAGTTCTGTGAATGCCCTGACCTATGTTTGAACTTTTTTGTTTAGAAAAACCCTATAAAAAGGACCTCAGCCCCTGAGCAGTTGCCTCTCTGAGCTACTTGGTTCTGAGAATGCCGTCTGGCCAGACTAATAAAGGTCTGTTTACCATCTAGCCTGGTGTGCTCCTTCCTGGGTTTCTTGCTGCTTGTCGAGCTCCAGGAGCCTCGCGGGGTTTTAGGACCCAGCACCGTGAAGGCTTTTTCGGCTGTTCATGCTCCTATGGAGTGGGAGTGAGACTTTGGGTCTTACACTAGGAAGAAGCCCCACACAGGATCCTCCATCCAGTGACAAGTGGCATCACTGATAGCAACTTTCCCTTTAGGTGTCTAGTAAAGTCATCCCTTTGACTTGAAAACAACACAAGCCAACCATTTCAGAGCCCGACTCCAGGCAGTTGATGTGGGGCTATTTCACCAGATTCTGAATTGGACAAAGGCCTGTGTCATCTTTTGAAGTATCAAAACAATAGTCTATTTCAGAAAAATAGGATTCATCAGACAGATCTTCAGCCAACAACTGTTTGAGAACACTGTTAACATCACTTGTAGGAAGGCTAGTAGTAGACATTTTTAGCAATTAAGAACTATTATATTTTGTATAGGGAAATACCACGCTCACAAAGAGAATGCTGAGGGAAAAAAAGCATGGTGTGTTTTGCTTCTAAAGACTAGAGCCATGCCAAAATAATAATAAAAGCAAGATATTTCATGGAAGCTTGGGCAGCAAGGTTAGAGCTGTAACCTGAAAGTTATATGAGGTTAAACCCTGAGGTTGTGAGTTTGCAGGATTTGCTTACAAAGCACTGAGAGAGTGGTGAAAGGATGAGAGAACCAAAGCAAACCAAATGCAACAGGGACTAGGGCTAAAGGCACCAGCAGGAGGCAGACTGAAGACTCCAGCCCTCAGCTCAGGGAGAGATTGGGTGGGAAGGGCTCCCTGGATCAGCGCTGAGATAAAAGGTGGAATAGGTGCTTGCAGCCCACTCCCCCTTAGCTGCCTGCAGAGAAATCCTCAGAACACAGGAAACAGCTTAGAAAACGAAACAGGAAGACATTTACCTACCAGGAATGATCTTGTCAGGTCCATTTCTTGAGGTTATTTCTGTGAATTCTCTTAATATTTTAGCAGCCTTCTTTGCTTCTGACTTCAGATTCGAAGGTATAGGGTTATTCACTGCAAGATTTTTTTCAAAAGACATTTTAATGATAAAAAAAAAATCTAATTAGAAGTTAGAAACTACTGCCATCTATTTATTCAGAGAATCAAATCTCTTCAGATTGGGAAACCCTAACCCCTCAAAATATCAGAAGTCATACAGTCATGGAATCCTATAAGGATCATAAGCAAAACTGGTCCAACCTCATCATAATGTATCTTGTCCTGGTAATGAACTCAGCCAAACACTAGTAAACTGTCCACAATAGATAATACAAATTTAATATTTGGACATTATCACTGGAAATGTCTGAGCTGGCTGCAGGAGAATTGTGCAGAGGGAACTCTGAGCTACCTAGGACTTAAGTGGTTACTACAGCAATGTGAGCTGGCTGGAGCACACAATCTTCATCCAGTGTCACCTGGACACTCACTGTTCACAGGACTGTTCTCCTCCTTGACAGCATGCACACAGCCTTGGGCTCCGTGGCATGTTGGGAAAGGTGAGCCATTCGACATACAAGAAAATAGATCAGCAGAGCCAGGAAGGTCCAGCAGCTGTAGGCAAGACAAGGTGAAGCCAGGGCTGAGACGTCAATTCCAGGTCTGTCTTGCCTCACATTTCTGGTCATGGGTATGTTTTCCTGTTTTTGCTCATTTCTGGTGCAGTCTGATGGTTGCTAGATGCTGTGACCACGACCATGTAGAGTCTCTAGGTTCTGCCATCCTCTTTTGGATGAGCACGTGAAAGGCAGGGTGAAACTCACAGTCCAGCTCCACATCTCCAAGGTGGAGGCTATGCTCTACTTGTGTGGAGCCCCAGGGCAAGTGAGACCCTTTCAGGCCCAATGCTTCGGGTGTACAGGTATGCTCTGAGATGGTACAGTGAGTACAAGACTGAGTGATCTACTTGGAAAAAGGGTCTTTGCTATCATAATTTGGTTAAGATCACCCGAGTGGGTCCTAATCCAATGATAAGCATCCATACAGGAGATGGAAGGAAAGGCACAGAGAAGACACGAAGAAGTTCAGCCACCAGCAAAGTGTCCCCCCTACAACCACAGGAGGGAGCCAGTCTAAGACACAGTCACCTGCTTGTTTCAAATCAACGGTCTTTTAAGGAAAATTCAATGTGAACATTCAGGCTTTTAAAATACCTTTTATGGAGGCAGATTTAGTTATATTATAGGCAGCTAACTTAGACATAAATTAATGTACAGTCAGAGAGGGACTGGGCTCTCAAGGAAGTCAGCAGAAAAGTAAAGACATAGGAATTCTGGCTGGAGGTGCATCTGTTGAAAGCCAGGCTCAAGATAAAGATAGGATGGCCAGGCCTACAAGCCTCCCTAAGGGCTAAGCAGTACCATGGAATTATACTATAACTGGTATAACCTGGTCTGGGAAATCTGGATAGACACCAGTCACCCAGATGGGAGACAAGAGCATCCAGCCCCACCCCTCCTCAAAATGCCTTTGTTCTTTCTATGTACTCTTGCTATGTGACCCACTTCCCTATTGGATCAATATTAGCTAAGTGGATATACTTATAATCTTAATGGTTGATTATAGTTTGATCCATGTCGTACCCACTTTGTGATTGTGTACCTACCTCATAATTTTGCTCTATAAAACATTCCTAGAGAAGTGACCTCAGTGGCAGCCCACTTTTAGGTCCCTCGGGACCTATCTCTCAATAAATCTTTCCTAGTCTTAACCTCATTGTTCCTTAAAATTCATTCTTTGATTTCTGGGGACACAGTGTATCTGACATCTGGCAGGTTGGGAGTTACATTTTCCCTGATATCAATAATTTCAGGTAATATACTACTGAGGAACACTATTCATTGGGAATCAGACCAGTGATCAAGAAAAAAATAGTAAGGGACATTTCCAGTTTCCCACTTAATGATTTCTTACTGCATCTGCACAGCCGATGGGTTTTGAGAACTGAGATGGGACTTGGCTTCTTTTCCATTTTGACTGCTAAATGGAAGACAGGACTGAGCTGGGGTGAGTTAGCAAGAGAAATGAGAATATAACTAAAAAATTGCCTAACACCAATTCATCTGTTTATAAGGTAAATATATCAACTGTCCTGTGAGGATGATTAGATTTTCCTGTTTCCTGACTTTTCCTGGGTACCCAAGAGAAGGACACCCAACCACTGCCCACCCCTGCATACCTCCCCTGTTAAAGCGTCACCGTGTGGGGCTGTCCCAGGATGCAGCTGCCCAGGGGGACTATGAGTCACTCCTATACCAAGACAGTGAGATGTGGGCCTTTCCCTGCCACTGGCTGGGTAAAGAGGGCCTGGAGGTCAGGGCCACAGCAGGAAGGACAAGATGCTGGAGCGCCATGTCAGGAACTACCCACCTGAGGGACATGGGACTTGGGCTGTACTAAGCAGGAAACTCAGGGACTTGACACAGAGCAAACGATATCCCACTAGAGGAACATCAAAAAGGCTTTTTTGTTTTGTTTTTTGTTTTTTTGGTACTGGGGATCGAACTCAGGTCCTTGTGTTTGCGAGGCAGGTGGCGGAACCACTGAGCTACATCCCCAGCTGAGGAGCATCAAAGTTTAAAGAAACACCTTTTCAAAAAGAAAGAAGAGGAAGTATTGTAACTTTCCTTTTCAACCTTAGGCCTAGATTTGACTAGTTTATCTGCATTCTCATCAGTTTGGAGGTGGAAAATGAGTAAAATAAATCAAATCCGATTATCCAATATGCTAGTATTTTATCTCTGATTATATAGCAGTCATGATATACTATTTGCAAGCCCTTCTAAAAAGGCTAAAACTGGTTTTTACTTTTCCACTGAATGTTGAAAGGGTAACATGATGTACCATCTTCACCATTCCAAGTTCTCCTATTACCATGCATGGAGATTGTGGGCTTATGTCCTACACCTCCTTCTAGGATCCTGCATCTGCTCTCCGTCCACCCAGAATGGGACAATCTAGATCCACGCGGGAGGTGCAAACCCCAGGGCAGGCTAGGAGGGAGCCTGACAGCACTGTTAGCTATGGCAGAAGACAGGAGAAACTGTGAGGCTACTTCAGGCAGGACAGGCTGGGAAGAAGGAATGAGCCAAAGGACAGTGCAGCTCAAGTGGGTCAGCCTGGTGGGCCCCTGTGCAGATGGTCAGCACCAGGGCAGATAAGCTTGGGCCCGCTGAGCCAGGACCCAACTTCAGGTGGAAGAGGTCCAGAGAGGATCCTGCCAGAAGTATGAGGGTCTGCCTGGTCTCCCCCTACAAGGCCCCCAGGACTCATGTGTGCACACCAAGAAAGCTGACTTTAAGGGGTCTTCTTTACCCTGGAGTCAGCTTGCCAGCACTCAGGGAGAGTCAGCAACTGCAAACTGGTCCAACAGGGCTGGCGGGCCTCCGCCCCGGCCACCAGGTGTCACTGTCACCAGGGCTCCCCACCCAGATCTACAGAAAACAAGAATGTGCTTCCTTTGCAGGAGAATCGCTCCAGGGAAGGGCACTAATGGGGATGGAGCTGAGCCCTAATTAGTGAGGTGGGTGCCCAACAAGCCTGCCTAGCCAGAGGACAAGGGCAGGAAACACCTAGTGTGGGTCCCTGCTTTCAGTCATAAAGGAAATTAAAACTAAAGCATAAACCTTCAGGGAAAAATAGCTTTAACTGATAGGTTGGAGAGAAGACAGGAAAGGGCTCCAGCTCAGGTGGCTGGAGGGGTGCACTCTGATAACAGGGTTCAGTCTGGCCCACCACAAAGGTGGGGGGCAGCTTTCAGGGGTTAGCTGGAGGGCAGGGGACCTGGTGTCCGCTCTGGAACCCTTATGGCTGAGGGGAGGCATCCTCTCCAGGAAGGAACTGCCTCTGTATGTGGGCATCTTGATCAGGTGGGCTCCATGTTTCCTGGGATCCACGTGAACGTGGGGTCAGGACAATGGCTGGAGACTTCAGGGCACTGCTGAAGGTCCTGGAAATACTCCATCTTGGTGTCCCCAGTCTTGAAGGGGCTAAGGTTATATAAATTCAGGTCTAATCAACATTATTTTGTCAGCCCTGGATACTCCCTAAATGATTAACATATCCACACACAGAGCTCAGATGTGATTTGACTCAAACTTTTAAGGTAATAAAGGATACAAAATGGCCAAGCCTAGTACCGCTTTTAGTTATCCGCTGGCCATCTGTAAGCCCGAGTGAAGAGTCATTGTTCATAGCAAAAATGGCTTTTAAGGTCCTGACTATCCCAAAAGAAAATATAAATCATGCTTTTAATGAGCCACAGGCAGGTAAGGGCCTGCTCCCCAGCCCTGGGTGGTCCCTGACTATGTTATGACCATGTTGGAACCATACTTTGCTTTTAATAATACAACGATCATGAAGTTCATCTTCTCTCGTTATAAAGGAGTGCAACACAAAGCCCTAAGCTTCCCTTCTGGCCTGCCAGGTCTACATGTGTAACTTCTGGCCCTTTGCAGAAAAAGATACGACCCCGGACCTGCTCAACTGTGACCCATCCTGAGGACCACAGGATGGGGCTGCAGGGCCTACAGGGAACTCTCCCAGGGCCCATCCTGAAAGTGTGCGCATCAGGCAGGCTCTGGTGACCCAGAGCCCCCTCTTCCTCCAGGGCCGAGTTTCCACCTACTCCAAACTGGCCACCCAGAAGCCTGGAAACAACCCCATCTCTGCCATAAGCAGTGAGGGAGACACTCTGTTGCTGATCACCTCTAAGATCTAACACCATGTGGTGGGTGTTCCAGGCCCTGAGGGGCTGCCCTCTGGTCCTAGGTCCATCCTTCCTCTTCACCTGCTTCTCACACACCTCCTCTGCTCCTGGACATCAAGCACCCTTGATTGCTGCTCCTTGCAGTGTTACCTATCCCTGACCTTCAGCCCAGCATCACAAGGCAGCTATTCAGCTGTGGGCCACAGCTCTTGCTGTTTACCTGCTCCTTTCACTCCAGGTAGATTTCCTGAGAGCTGAGCTCACTTACCCTCCCTCAGGAAGCATGAATCTTCTGAACACTCATAAGGTTACCCTATCCCACCACCCTGCCACCAGCTGTCCCAGAGCATATCATTTCTCACTGGGTCTCATGGGTGTCTCCTACCAGTCTCTTCTTAATTTTGAACCCATACTGCCATTTTTCCAGATGGCTCTGTCTAGGTAATGCCTGAATATAATTTTGTTACCCGATCTCTCTAAGTTTCCAACATGTTGAGCTGCTCAGTCTGCACCACGGGCTAGGTCAATACCACTTGTGTATGAATGTATGTGGTACAAGTGTGTATTTGATATATACGTACAGGAGCTGGGTGTGCATGCATGTGTGGTGTGTGTGTATGTGGGAATATGTTATTATCCCAACACATACAATAATGCTGGATGCACAGTAAGTGCCTGGTAAATATTTGTTAAATGAATAAAGTATTTGTGATGACTGATTCACAGAGAAAAACCAATGGATGTAAGGGAAAGTAAACCAAGGAACAGCAGTTTCCAGCCTCCCCAGACTCTGGGCGTGAGTGAGGGGTGATGCCCAAACAGCGCTTGCCCAGGACGAGCCACAGGGAGGGCCCTGCCCTGCACGCACACTGGGGCTGCACCCTGTATGCTTCCTGCAGCCCCAGAGGCTCCTAGGGCCCCAAAACCACTTGCAGAAAGAGCCCTGGGCTAGATGTCAGATCTTCCAAAAAGGTATACAGATCACTTGGTGGTGTCCTTAGGTTTAGCAACTTATGAGAACAGCACAGCCTGTCTTGGTGGGCATGGAGGATGGCACGTGCTGTGTCAATCTACCTGAAACCCACCTGCCTGAGGAGTCAGGCTTGATAGAAAATGAAGGCTCGGGTTACAATTTGTGTATTCCTGGCACTCAGGTTTGTGATATTGAAACAGAGTTCCTGGACCTGAACTCAAGACCTGAGATCCATGAAAGATATGGCAAGTACACTTCCCTCCCCTCACACTCCCAGACATTCTTATCAACGTCAAAACCCAGGACCCTCATTAAAGCCAGGATGTATCTGCCCACAGTGCTTCCAAAAATAAACTAGATGAGAAAATAAACTCTTGTGGATCCTCACAGAGGGGCTCCCAGGCCCAGTACCTGTTATTCATTAAAATATAATACCAAATGTTTTCTTCTGAGGTAGTCAGGAACTTATAGCTGATTTTGCTAAAAACAGTGACTCTTCACCCTCAGAGGCCCCAGGGGTAACTAAGTGGATAAACTTGACATCTCTGCATGTATGGAGCCTGAAAGTGCCAATATAAGGCTTCAAAGCCCTGAATTTACTTAACCTATCTCATCCTCCTTCTAGATGAGGATGCCAAGATCAGAGGCCTTACAGGACTAGTGAACTACCAGCTTTCACTCCCTAAATGCCTCCAGTCACTGCTCTAAGTTAGATTCCAGCAGAGCTTGATTCCAGCAGAGCTTCTGCAAAGCTGAGACTGCTGTGAACAGGAGAAACCATCTCCGGGGACCTAGGCTGCCCCTCAACCACACCAGTCTCTTTAGAGCTGCATAACCAGGATGGAGAACCTGATCAACCTGACCCTGCCCACCTCAGCTCCCTCAAAAGCCATGTCTGGTCCTTTGCTAGCGGGCAGTCTGCTGGTCATTAGTGCTCCGCCCCTCAGCTCCCTTCCCTCTCTCTAGCCTTGCAATGAAAGCTTTGGCTGCTGCCTGGGGTTTAGGTTCCATTATCATGGAAACCAAGACCCTCCCTAGCTGGTGGCAGTTTGAGACTCAGACAGGAACACCTGTCTTTTTTCCTTTCTTCCTTGGAACTCATCCTTCCCACCCTAAGCCATATAACCCTAAAGGCCAGAACTGTGCTTTTTACTTGTCACCACGTCCCCAAGACCACCTTGCTCACAGGGCACACAGTGTGCAGAGCTGGATTGGTCAGCAGCAATGGAAATGTGTCCACTTTGCTGCTGAGTGCCCATGCTACTTAGGGTTGCAGACCCCGGGTGGGGGTGTAGCGACCACGTCTGATACCAGGACTACCAGGATGAGGCTCACCAAGGCACTTGCAACAAAGTTGGTCTCCACAGGGGAGTCTGGGGGCACCAGTGCCTGTGGAACATTAGGCAGGGTAGAGAGAAATAGGCACTGCAGGCTTACCCCGAACTCAGACCAGCCCTGGTTTTAAGTCACTCAGATCAGGGAAATCCTTTTCTGCTAAAGCCACCTTAGACCAGATTCTTTGACACATGCAAATAAAGTAGAGTACATAAGAAGTAGATTGTATCCACAAAGACTTCCTACTCTGAACTCTCTCAGCTGAGTCACGTTAGACCAGTTGTACAAGAAAATCCCACAGTCAGGAGTCGATGGGCACACAGCCCAGCCAGGGAAAGGTCACAGCTGCACTGTGAAGGTGGGGAGGAAGGCTCCTATCTTACACACCTGTGACCAGAGCTTCCCCAGCTGGCAGAGCCACCGCATGGCAGCTCCTGAGAAGCCTGGTCATGGTGAGGTGAAATCCAGGGAGTATCAAGAATGCTATAAACTTCCCACAAAACCATATTGCCTGCTCATAGTTCCCCACAGTCAGTTTGTCAGAACAAACACAGAGATGAAAAATTGAGAGAAGAGCCTCGCATCCTGTCCATGGCTTCAAATCAGTGTTCACTACTTTTCCACAACTATGTCACAGGTATGAGAGCACAGTCACATCTATACCCTGTGAAAGCAGGTGCTGCCCTTCAAACTTCAAATCACTCGTGAAGTCTTTAACTCTCTTGCGTTCTGAACAAATCAGAAAGCTAAGCAAACTGTTGATAAATATTTGAATCTTTTCCTAGGAAAAGGGTGGCTGCCAAACCTCAAGCTAAGAAACTCTCACATAAATTCTTTAAAAAGCAATGAAAATATTTGAAATTTCTCACATGCATACTAAAACTTTTTTAAAAATTAAGAATAATTTCTAAAATACTGGGAAGAAACTTTTTTATTGTGGAAAATTCAAGAGCTTACATGAGCTTAAGATTTGGAAATCATACTCCATGTTGACAATGGGTCACTAGCTCAGGGCTGGGGCCACTGGGCCGAACAGTGACGCTCGAATCCCACTTGGGATGAATTGCCAACAGTGCAAGAAAGTTGCCCTGAAGGATGTGGGCCATCTCGACATCTACCCAGGTCAGGAGAAACATCCTGTGACCACAGGGCCCCCCACCTCCACCCAGAGTTAAGGGTACTAAAACTATCCTTCCATCATTGCGCATTCATTACATGGTTTTCTTCAACAGGTGCTATGTAAGAAAAGGGCTATGTATAGAAAAAGTAAGTAATGGCTTTGCAAAGTCCCCTTAATCACATATTGATCAAACTACTGCACTTTACAATTTACATGAAATAGAGGTTAACTTGCTAAAACAATAAAATGCCATCCAAGATCAAAGACAGCGGGATGCTAAAGACACACAGTATTTAGAACAAACTGATTAAATCTTCACAGAAGCACAGGAAACTTTATTGAATCTCTTGGAAAGTTGCCTTTCTCAATAAGCACAGCTTTGAATACTGCCGTCAGACAGCAACAGCCTGTTTTTCAGACCAATGTTTCTCTTTCTTAGGGCAATGGTTTACTTCCTTTGTCTTAAGGAGTCAAAGCCTGTCAGTTCTAGAAATCAGAGCCAGTGTCCCTGCTCAGATCAGTAATCCTCCTAATTCCACACTGGACCTGTGAACACTAACATTCTTGCGGCCTGCACTTCTTTCTTGTCTCCTTCATCCCAGGCAGACACCTGCTCCCTCTTCTCCCCAGCTCAAGTGAGATCTTGCCATGGCAGGACCACATGAGCCGCTCTGGTCCAACCATCTGGCCTAAAAAACAAACTCTCCTCAGAGAAGATAAAAATATTCAATGGGGCTGGGTTTTAAATGGCAGAGATTTATGTCTTATCACGATAGCACTGCAAACAAGCCAATGCCCACCCTGTGCAGCCACAGGGCACAGTATTTCCCTTTCACTGTTTTCCTTTTTCTGGAAAACCAAATTCTTATTTCCTAATAGTGAGGTGTCTCCTGAGAATAAAGATTTCCTAAGCAGAATTAAAGTACCAAATCATTCTGGACAAGCAAAGAGTGATAGTATGGATTCATCTTAGAGAAACTTTGTTTAAATTGAGCGTCAGTGAAATGATAGCCAATTCACTTTAAAACGCCATATAAACAGGATGTAGGTTATCCCTTGTGATTATTTTAACCACCAACATAGCAACGCCCAAACAGTCCGATCTGCTCAGGCATTTCAATAACAGGCCAACCCAGTGGCTAAACAGCACCTTTCACCAGAGACCTGTTATTCTCTGAACTCTGCTTGCCATCTACCTGAGTAACTCATGTTTAATCCAAACACCTACTGTCCCTGATGAAACACCTAGGTGAGCAAGAATGCAGGATGGCTAAGCTGTGTAAGCAGGGGACGGCCTGACCGCCTGGGGAGACCGCTCTTGGCCACTCAAACCTTGCTGACATGATGGCCCCCTTGGTCATTCCTTCCAGCCGTGCCCTGCCAGTGGCCACACTCAAATATTAGTTGAAGGAAAATAAAATGGACATGTATTCAGCCAACAGGAACATCCCATGTCCTTACTATTAAAATCAATGCATCTTCACGACAAATAGACCCCGAAGAAGCCAGGTGGGTGGGTGTGGAGCCCTGGCACCCCTCCCGGGGCTGGGGGCAAACATGAGCCTTTTGGGCTTTGCAGGAAAGATACCGACCCCCCCCGCCCACCCTGTCAAGCACAGAGGGCGCCGAGAATCACAGCGGTGAGGCACGATGTTGTAAAAAAACATAAAATGAATTTCAGCCATCGAAATTTGAAATGCGGGAGTTTTCCTGGAAATCCATCCGCTGTGGTCCAGTTCTGAAACTGCCAGTTTCGGGTTCTGACAATCAGCGAAACGACGTAGCCTGTGCTGGCAGACGCCACAGCGGACACTGCGCCTTTCCAGGGGGCCCGGCGTACCCCGCCCCCC